AGACAAAATACACGAGGGGCACTTTGGGGTTGTCAGGTGCAAACAGCGAGCGAGAGATGTGCTGTTCTGGCCAGGGATGTCGACGCAAATTGAAGACAAAGTAGCCAAGTGCTATACATGCAGTCAGCACCAGAGACAGCAAGCCAAAGAACCAATGATACCACATGATTCCCCAAACAGGCCATGGGCAAAAATAGGCACAGATTTGTTTGAAATGAACAGTCATCACTACTTGTGTACTGTTGACTATTATTCTAAGTGGATGGAAGTAGACCAACTCGAAAACCAAAGCAGTAAGGCGACAGTTAATGCACTGAAGAAGCACTTCTCAAGATATGGTATACCCGATGAAGTCGTAAGCGACAATGGGCCTCAGTTCGGAGCAGCCGAGTTTGCGGAGTTTGCAAAGGACTATGAGTTCACGCACACAACAACCAGCCCTCACTACCCGCAATCAAATGGACAAATTGAAAGAGCAGTTCAAACAACCAAAAACTTGATGTCAAAGTCCGTCGACATAAATAAAGCCCTGCTTAGCTATCGAACCACGCCACTTGACGCAATTAACAAGTCCCCAGGTCAACTGATGATGGGTCGACGTCTGAAAACAACATTACCTACCACTGCAGAATTGTTGAGACCGCAAGGACAGGAAGAAGTAGTCGGGAAGCTCAAAAAGTGAAAGAAACGCAAAAACATTATTTTGATCGACACTGTGGACGGAGTTGGAATCACTTCAAACTGGAGATACTGTCACGATGAAACACAGAGACGAGTGGGTACCGGCTGTAGTGTCATACAAACATCACACTCCTAGATCTTACGTAGTTGAGACAGCAAGTGGAAGGAAATATCGCAGAAACAGACGACACCTCAATCGCAACAGGGCACCAGGAGAACAGAAATTTGAGGCCAGACCAGAGCAGACTGAGATAACCTTACCTCCAACTAACGTGCAGAGGGAAACCGCTAAGCCAGTAGCTAAGCCAAGCCAAGCCGCTAAGCCAGTAGCGGCTGCAGAAGACCAGGTCGGGACGTTTGGTTAAGACCCCATCATACCTAAAGGACTGTTACACTTGAAGGGAATGGAGCAATTGAATGGAACGTTGAATGCTGAATGCGAACTTGTGAATTTGAACTTACGAGTTTTTGAACTGATTTCGAACTGATTTTGTTATTTATTTTTTTTTTGTGTGTGTGTTATTTTCCATTGTTTATTATTAGTTCGGTTTTTGTTGGAGAAAGAGAGATGTGATGTATGTTAATGCCATGCCTGTACTAGGCATGACGGGTAACTAATTAAATCAGTTGTTACACTCAACATGGTGTGGTTTGGTCGTACATTACACCTGATTCATTATTTTAAAACCTTTAAATTAATATTATTAAATGTCTAAATGCTTCTTGTTGTCTGTAGTTTTCATCACCAAAGAAAAGATAAATTATTAGGTGAGTATAAACCTGTCTTGTTTTCTCCCATGCAATTAACACTAAGCCAAGCTGAAGGAAGACAGTGAAGGATAACACCCTTTACTGCGTCAGTTAACTGTTGCAATAACTAAGTTAGGTTTCTCAATAAAATATTCACGACACCTGATAATATTCCTCAACTCCTTTCAATGCGGCTGTTAAGGTAACTTTTGAGCTTCAGGTGCAGAATTAAAAATTGCAAAATCGCATGCTAAATTAGGGGCGGACCATTAGGAAACGTATCGTGTGTGTGTGTGTGGGGGGGAGGGCAAGTACAATAAAAAAAATTCGCACAAGGGAAAATTAAATGAAAAAAATTCATGCACGCCAATTAACCCTAAAAAATATTCATGCTATAGCCTAAAAAAAATTCACACAAGGAATTTGATAACGAAAAAAAATTCCTGCGGCTCGAAAATTCCCCACCCCCTCCCCTCCATAATTTTTCTAATGGTCCGTCCCTTAGTGGATTTGGCACACTGATTATCACCATGTCACTGTCACGCTCCATCCAACTCCCTCAATACAGCAAACTCATTGTCTTCAGGCACGCGTTATTTCCGATTCCCCCCAAATTTGGCCCACAGAAAGTTAATAGATTTAGCCAAATATGTGCTTACTTCCAGCTCCCGGGGAGTATTAAGCTTTACGCAACGATTTTTCAAAAGGCGTCGCCACTCGGAATTTATTTGTCGCGGTTTTTGCGAAGAATGAAAGCTTGTATCGACGAATTTCAACCAAATACTGCAAATACAAGTAAAGCAAATTATTCTGAAGGATTCTGGAGGATAACAAGCAAAACAAACACGAAAATGGAGATAACAAAACAGTAAGAATCTTTGCGTGCCGATCGCTGATTCGTCTAAGTCTGCAGCACAGGTTGTTGAAACACAATGAATTCCTTCCCGCTTGGCCTTCGCTTAGCTTTTTGCCGTCAAATCCTTGCTTATTTTGATGAATTATATCGACAAATTCATGCTTGTTTGTCTTTAACCAACCTCGTTCCCACGGTTCTCTCCTAGCCCGGTGGGAGAGAACCGGGGTAGGGTTGGTCTTTAACTCGATATTTCGATGGAAACCGAAGAAAACAAGCGTCTGTGTAAAGTAAACCACTTGAGCACGAGGGACGCCGATGTATAGAATGTCATTATGCTAATTATGATAATCCGATTAGCAGACTCTGATAGCGTCTAAAAATAAATTTGTTCCAAGTTGCTCTATATTTTCGAACGATTTTCGGGTTGTTTTGCTTAGGTTGTTACTACCATATTACACAAAATAGACACATTTCATGGCAAAATGACATTCTTTATAAATTTGAAAAATTTTTTGGCAGAAATATGCCTGGTTAATCTTTTTTGCAGAATATTATGGGTTTCCTGAGACTGAAATATTTTTTTCTGAAAGTTTAATCTTTGCCCTTTCCAATGAGGTATAGCTTTATATGGAATTGTAACTAACAACAGAGATATAATTTTTTAAAGTTGCATGGTCAAAAATACTTAAATAACCCTCCGGAGACACTATAGCTATATAGTAGACATGTATAATACAGCGATTCAGCCTGAGACCGGAAGTTGCATGAAAGGGAAGCCTAAGGGCTATCTTTCGCGCGAATCTCAAAAATCATGGCTGAAGACACCGACAGTTTGCATGGAAGACATGAAATGTCTTCTGATGTAAACCTTACACCAGAAGACATTCCATGTTCATCCGTGAAAAATGGAGAAGAGATAAGTAAATGGACAATTCCACAACTGAAATTTTGGTTGAAATGCAGAAGACTGAACCAACAGGGACTGAAGAAAGATCGTGTCGAAAAGTAAGTTTCGCAGCACCTGTATTACATAAACACTGTTATCTAACGTTCCACGTTAGTCAAAAGAATTTCGTTTTGGCTAAAATCTTGTCTTTTCGGGGGCAGGGTTAAGGCATTCAACACGATTCCTTACTACAGAGAGAAAGTTTACAACCCTGATCCTGAGAGGAGCTACACGAAAGCAAAGGTTGAAAAGCTAAAGACCCTCAATATCGAAACAGTCTAGACTGAGCTGATCGACCAACAAGCAAGCTCGTGTAGTTCGATTTTAGACACTTCACTGACACTTTCCCACCGAATGAAAACACTCAATTTTCGGAGGCTTTTTTCTGTTTTACCCCTATTTGTACCTATGGATGCTTTTGAGCAGGTACAAAATTCCGGTAAATCCATGAAGAAATTTACCAATGCAGCAGTTGTTATAAACTCAAATGACAAAGGCCTCCGTATGGTCAATTTTGTGCGCGATTTACAGGTGTATAATAACACGGAAAATAACATCATATACGTCCGTGCTTGCTGTTGGGTTTCCTATATGAGGAATGTTGAATACAAGGTGAAAATGGTTTGTAAACAAAGCGGGACCCCAAAGATTCTAGCAGCAAAGTGTGATAGGCAGTGCCCGGCTTCCAACAGTGGGTGTTGTTGTCATGTTATGGCGCTCATATGAAAACTTGAGGACATGATGAGAAAGTCAGAGCTAAAAAATATCACTCCTGACAACAGATGCTGCACAAGAAAACCGAGGGAATGGGGAAAAGGGGGTAGACGAGAAGTAGAGTTATCTCCAATGATGGCTTTAAAAATAACAAAACCAAGACATGCGTCTGACTTACCTGGTAGGAAGAAAAGGAGTATTGACTCTCAGTTTTACGATTCCAGACCACTGAAATCACAGAAGCTTGATGCTGATGGAATTGTAAAGCTGAGGCAAGATCTTTAGAAAATAAATGCTCGTATACCCTTTGCTGCTATGTTACCAGAGGAGAAGACAATTCAAACAGTAATGACTATAGTTGGCACTGTTGCTAAAGGTTCAACAATTAATAAGCAACTTCAAGATTATTCCCAACAGCCTCCTAATTTGGTAGTACCTTTTTTTTAGCAGTTCCTCCCTTTATGGTAAAGAAAATGTGAATCCTGTCTCAAATGGGCAAGCACTGAATTCAAATTCAAGTTTGAATCATGAAATCTCTGCTGCACCTTCCACTGTGCAGTGTGAATCAGAAACGGCACCCGTTAGCACTCTTTCTAATGCTTATGATGAGCTATAGCTTCAGTAGATATCAGATTGTAGTGTTAATAACCAACAGCAAGAACAGAATATTTCAAGTTTTATTGAAAGTACAATTGATCCATCTGAAGTACCACTGCCAACAGTCCAAACAGAAACATTATTTATTGAAACTCTTACAGAAAGGCAAATGGAAATTGAAATGGCAACAAGAGGACAATCAATGAATCCTGCTTGGTTTGAACAAAAGTAAAACAGAATAACTGCCAGTATCTCTAAAGATGTCTTTTCTCACATGCAAAAACAGGGGTCAAAATTACCAGAAAATCTAGTAAAAAAAATACAGCTAAAGGAGCACCGCAAAAAATGGTCAGCTACTCACAAAGGATTGATCTTTGGTGTTGAAAATGAACCTGTGGCAGCTGATTTGTACAAAGAATATCTCTTGTCACTGCCAGACATCAAGGAAGTGACAGTTCAAGAGACTGGATCAATTTTAGACAAAGATGATGATGTTCTTGCAGCAAGCCCTGACAGAATTGCAACAATAGTGTATGCCAATGGTGACATTGAATACAGAAATGTGGAAGTAAAATGTTTAGAGTCCAAGCAGGATATGTCACCAGAGACTGCAATAAATAATCATCAAAAGGAAAGCAGTTTCCCATTTATGGAACTGAACTCTGTCTTTGTAGTAAAAGAAAAGCACAAATATTGGTTTCAGTCCCAGATGCAAATGGGGGTCAGTGGAATTCCATTAACTGACTTTGTCATATTTACCAGCAACACATTTCCAGTTTTGGTTCTTAAGGTCACATCATCGTCAAGGTGGGACGACGAATTGCTTTTCACGAGAAATATATCTCAAAATAAAAACATTTGTGTTTTTAGAACTGCAAAGCAACACTATTAGTTTCTTGGAAAATATAAGATGACTCTAACAAAATCCCTGTTTGCTTTAGTATGTTCTAAAGCACAAGGAATGGTATTCAAGTTATACTTTACAAGTGATGGGATGGTGGTGGTAGGGAAGGTGAAACTAGATATTTTTGTGTATTGTTTTTGAAAATTTTGACTGTTATTTTTTAGGATTTGTCTTACAGATAGACTTTTAGTTTTGAAAAAAAGACAGATTTTGGTTTTATTTTCTATATTATATCACCATCACCATTATTATAACAAATATATTTTCGTCAATCACAGTCAGTCTCCATCAGTTTTAAATTTGAGTACCCAATCTACCCATGTGCATTTGATAGAATAATATTATTTTTGAAATTCACTTTTTCACATATCAAGTCCTCCAATTATTGAAAAAACCCAAACCAGAGACTTATACAAACAGCTGAACATCTTCAGAATCTTTAGTTTAACATTCAATTCCTAAAAAACACACTTGTTAGTTCCCTGATATAAGAACCCATCCCATCCAAAAAACTGAAAGCTTCCTTTCTTTAAACTGTAATAATTGGATATTGAAAATTTACTAACAAAGCACATACAGTCCAGATCTTATTTATGGACCCAAAGCTGGAAAGAGGCAGAACTTGACTAAAAATATGCTAAGCCTTGATTCGCTTAATTGCTCTTTCCACATGAATACGCACATTTGCTATACTCATGGTCTCAAAACACTGGCTTTGTGTGAACTGGTCATTGACAGAAAATCTCTTTGGAGGAATACATAAACTTGCTACTCTGAGGCCCATTAGGTCATGGATTTCAAAGCCCTTGTCGGCAGGGTACTGGTCCCCCATTTCAATTAACTGACAGAAGTTACTCTTCTCCACAATTTCCTTATCACTTATTCTTCCTGGATACAACTGACTAACAAATGTTATCCATCCACTCGGTGAAATGCAGATGAGCCCTTTAAAAGTGTCGTGAGATTTATAGTCTGAGTACATTTCTGAGTGCTTCTGATAATCCTTGGGAAACTCACATTTCAGCTCTGTGCAATCATGAATTCCACGTACGTTTTCATACCTTCCATTAAAAGAATCTGGCAAGTTTTGTTTTATTTTGTCTCTTGAAGGCCATAAAGGCAAACTTCCCAACATTATGTAAAGGTAGTTTGCCCAAGTAATAAAAACATCAGACACGGTACTTACAGAGACACTAAATCTATGAGCCAAGTCAAATAAGCCAAGACGCACCCTTGTTAGAAACAACCACAGCTGATCGATGGGCTCTATTTCTCTCTTTCTATTTCTTTGTTTCTCCTGTCCTTGCAAAAAGGGAAATGGATTAACATTGTTTGTGGAGCTTTCTTTCACTCTTTCGCGTGCTGTGTTCCACGACATCAGAGACTCAGAGCAAGGTTTAATAAAGTTCCAAAATGCCTTCAAAGCTCGGTGACTCTGAAATCCCGTGTAGAAAAATATGTCATCATCATTCGATCCAAACCGCTCCAAACCAAATTTTCAAAGGAACAGCTTTTGTTTAAGATCATAATTCTCGGCAACCAAGTCTCTCTCTTCTTCGAATGGTTTTTCACCTGAATCTTCCTCTTGAGTCTCCTTGGCAGAGATGTCAGGTGTATCGTATGAGTGATGTTTATTTTCGATACTCTTGGAGGGGATCGCTGAAAGTTTAATCCTTTGGCATTTCCGACTTTTGTCTCTTTCGGACCTTTCAGAGGCTTCGTCATTGCCAACCGACCATGGGAAAATGGAAGGAACAGCATTCTTTACAAGATCACGTCTTTTGCCGGTAAGGCTTTTCCTGTCGGTCCTTCTCACTAAAATGTTCAGAACAGCAGAAGAGTGAGCTGTTCGAGGCCAATTTTTCCAAGATTTTCGTCCAGAGGGAAAATTATGAAAAATTAATTCTGGTCGGTTATCTGAATGATTATTGCAAAGAACAGCCGCGCAACACTTGTGACTCGAATTCTTTTGTTTACTGGAGGACGCCATGTTTATGAGTAATCGCGCGAAAGATAGCCCTTAGGCCTCGCTTTCATGCAACTTCCGGTCTTAGGCTGAATCGGTGTATTACTAAATTAATGGGAGAAAGTCGAGCTAACAATTCTTGGTTAAAAAAAATAAGAATTCTCTTTGAAATATATACGCTTAAAATTGGCGAGGTAAATGTTTTGCAAATATACTAAATAGCGCATTACACTAATGACGTCACAAATTTCTGGTCCCTGCTGTGACTCAGACATTGAACCTGACCAGTATTCTCGGTTTTCAGTGTTACGCAATCAAAAATTTAATTGCGAACCATTTAATACAGAAAGTCCAGAATATAGGAAATAAAAAAAAAGATAAATAAGCAAAAGACCTCGCCAAGAATCAGGTCTGTGCGATATTCATGTGAGATATTTGGAAAAACGTTTTACCCAAATTTAAAAAGTTTTGCATGGAGACGCCATGCTCGCGTCCCTTTGAGGGGCACAAATGTGGCAACCGGAAATTAAACCAACAGAAACATCTGTTTTTGAGTTTTCCTACTAATGCGTGAATTTATCGCTTGAAAAATTCATAAAGGGTTAATAGGGATATTCATTCTGAGACAAGGAATGTTTAGATGGCAAAATCTCCCAAAACTGGTAATGTTTTTAACCCTCATAAGAGCCTACCCGGCTGCCATCTAAATGCCTCGTCACGCAAAAGCCTGGAAATTCAAACGTCGTCTATCGCAATTGAAGAACCCTTTCGAACCAAAACTTTGTTTAAGTGAAGGTGTTTAGGTGCTGTAATACCTCATGAAGCTCAGAAGAATGGATAGTTTCTTAGTTTGAATTTTGGTGACGTCATGTGAAAACCGGGAATAAGAGTCTTGTATGGGAAAGTCACATTGGCCAACAAATTTCCGTCGTCTTTGAGGATTTTTGTCGTTAAAAGAAACAAAATACAGCTTGGTTTCGTTAATATATATCTTGAAAATTATCAACGCGTGCCAAGACAACGTTAAACATGGTAAAAACTGTAGATGAGTGATTTAAAAAAATTTGGAACATAACAATTTTTATCTTGTGGCCTGAATGTTCGTGTCGACCATAATTTCAAAAACGATTATCAGCTATTTATAGTCTCAGTGCAGTGCGTGGATCGATTGGGATAGGTTAATTTAATAGGTTAATTCTTTTTAATTATAAGCTGCTGGTTTGACTGTTCGAGAAGACTTCTCGTTTTCATGCAGCGGGCGTCTGGAAAAGCAAGAAACCGGAATGCAGAATAGGAACAGGAATGGGAACAGAAACCGGAACCGGAAACGGAACAGGAACAGTGATCTAAAGGGGAACCAATACCTTAATTTATTTTAATTCTAATTCAATTTATATGAAAAATAAGAAAACTATTCTGTAATCATGCTCCTCCTGAGTCTCTTTATATTACGGCAAAGAGAAGGTAAAAAATGCTGCAAGTTTAAGAGCAACTCCATGCAAATATCGACCAAAGTGCGGCAAGGCTCAAAAAATAAAAATCGCTCTCCTTTTGCATACTGATGAACTTAAAGGGGCTATGTCACCCAACACGCATGCGCGAGCCAATGAAAACAAACTTGAAAAAGACAGCCCAACTTTTTCAAGTTGTGTCGGAGATTTTGGAAGGCTGTTTTTATCTGTCTAAATCTCAGCCATCGTTCGATAGTTAGCGAAGTTTTGTATTAAGAATCATTCTATGGTGATTACAGAACAATTTTTTGGCGTTATTTTAAAATTGTTTGCCTGTGGAATGTTTTTACGTGGATTTACTGTGTCCTCTTATCAGCGGCCGTTGTAATGGCAAAGTTAATGACGACTACTCCACAATGAGTGATGGAATCTTTGATGGAATCTTCCCTATAGTTCACAGGACCTTTCTATTGAGTTATTTTAGAGGCTGCTGGCTCTTGGATTTTTCTTGTGCTCGAAGTATGTGGACATATAATGAAGCGGCTATCGAGTTGGCGGCGGCCGTTTTTTGTAAACGATTACAAGAGCATCAGGCCATGAGTTTCGTGACGAAACTCAACTCCTGGCGAAGGAAACATTCTAAAATTCGGCTAGATTCCTTCTTGTATTTATCTCGATTCACGGCAAAGATAAACACGACCGTTTGCTCGTCCAGATTGTTCTCAACGGACTTAGAGAGGTACCTTAGTACGAGTTAGATCCTGTAAATGCCATGTTTTTGAACTGTTTGTGTTGGAGCATAATTTTGGAAAATAGCAGAGTTTGCTTTCCTTTTTATCAACGGACTGCTTATAGTGGAGTAGTATACCAATGATGCTGGGTTCTGTTTTTCTCGACGTCGCAGTGATTCGGCACGATCGAACAATTTTGCGCGATAATGTATGTTTCCCTAAGATCAAAACAAAGACTTGGTCTCTTGTTCTATCAGCATCTAAATTATAAAATCAATAGCGACAGACAAGTCTAATTGTTAATGATTTGAAACAGTCTTGGTCTTTATCTTCGGTCTAGCGTCTTTTGTAGCTCGTTTGTAAAATACAACTTCCATTTATTTTGTTGAATAAGACAATATGTTGTTGTTGAATTTTTGTTTGCGCTCTATTTTATGAATGGCATGCGTTTTTACTTCAAAACTACAAGTAAAATTGTCGTCGCAATTTTATTCTTGATCTAGCATAACCAGAGAAGAAACGTTCCATAAATTCTATCGAAATATCCCATATCTAAACCCATTTCGCTAAACCTCTCTAAATTCGGAACCTTGGACGTGACAGAGAACATGAAGAAAGTCACGCGTTAAAAACAATAGAATTTTGACAGTTAAAAGTAATTTGCATAACCTCACAGCGCACATGGAGAAAGTCACGCGTTAAAAACAATAGAATTTTGACAGTTGAAAGTAATTTGCATAACCTCAGAGCGCATGCTCTCCAGCTGACATAGCCCCTTTAAGTAAGTCTACAAACGCCATGTAGTTTTTTCTTCTAAAGATCTGTTCGTTTCCGAGAAAAACAAGAAAAAGCCCCGCCGTCGATTTCGCAAGCCGAAAACAGGGTTGAAATTCACTATGATTCGCTCGACTTGCATTTCAAAACTACGCGTGCTTGTTGCTAAAATTGTAAGTATAACTCGTCGTTGACCAAAATATATAATATTTTTAGCATTACAACAGTCTGAGTAATTATAAAAAAGCTAAAGCGTACGTCTACCTGTTGTTCATTCACGGAAGGTAGTTGAAAAAAGTGACGATTTTCATCATGTGCCTTTGATCAGAATTTCTCAAGATTGAAGGGGAAAACACTACAAGCATCAAACTATTATGTTATGTTAAAATTATTTTGGGGAAATCATTTTGAGCTTCTCAGAAATTATTTGAAATTCGTGTTACAGACAACATAAAATAACGCCATCCAACACATGAGTCACAAGACCAACAATTTGACTTTAGGTTTCCGTTTACAACGCTGGTAGCCTTGATATATAGAACAATTTTTTAAAAAAGCTCACCTTAACCTATATCTGTTGTACTTCAAGCTCCAAGTTGTTTCATTTTGCCGTCTTATCACCTATGTTACCGTAGTCGTGATGTCCGCTGGAATGTGTGCGTTGGAGGTGCGTGGCAGCTTTCTGGTAATTTCTTCATCCCTCTCTCTCCATCATTTTCTCTAATGTTTTCAAGTTAACATCTCATGTTTGTTCAAAATTTTGAGAACCCTGGACCTTAAAAAATATTTTCTCAAACAAAATCAATTTTGTCTAAAAATAAAGCTCGGTAGTTTAACAAAGCAAAGTTGTTTGCCCGTGGATCCGTTCACTTCAATTAATCTCATTTGCGTAAGAGTGTGCCTGGGAGTGTGCCAAATTAATCTACGTCCGGTGATATACACGTGACGAGCTTAACCGACTTTCACCCGCTACTTCCAATACACTGAAGAAGCTTCATCTTTTATACTCCTCCTTCTTCAAAAATACTCCAGTTGACATTATTTTACCTGAGAATTATCTTGTTTAATATTTTGACATTTTAGGCATTTATATGCTACGCCAAAAGTGACAAAATATCAAAGATGCAACTTTACAATTCAAATCCACCAAATCACTATCAAGATCGATAAAATTAACGTCAATTTGCTTTTTGAATGTGTCAAGATTGTAGAATTTAATTTCAATTCCCTCGTGTTTCATGTCATGTATCAAGAGACACGTTTTCTAAATCAAGATGCATGTTTTTTAAATCAAGAAGGGAGACGACAATTTTTGATCAGTTTTGTTTCCAAGAGGGACTGAAACACAAAAATCTGCAAGGCTCCATGAAGAATCCCGCCCATTCTTGCCCATTCCCGCGCTAGACAGGGCAGAGAAAGGAATCGAAGAACTTGTGAGAAGAATCATTCGATCAGCACAAGAAGGAGTTGACACATCGCGAGCTAATGTGGCCTCAAACGAGTCAACACCTGACGAAGAACTGAGGCGGTGGTTTAAGAACGAGATAGGCTCGATCAGATAGAAAGCAGAACAGGCTCTCGTAGGAACGCTGGTGAAATATCACCACAGGCGCGCAGAACGATTAACAAACAAGCTTCCTAAACTCGAACAGTATAAATCTCGCAGAAATACTGTTACTAAGCACGCGTCTCAACAGAAAACGCAATCACCAGCTAGAAAGAAAACTGTCAACAAAGATGACAATGTAAAACGAGCTAGCCGAAGAATTGAAGACCAAGATTAGCGAAGTCGATGTATTGTTAGAACAAATGAGATCACAATTGTGTGCGAATAAACAAAGTGAATGTTACTCTTGTCTCTTATCACACTCCTTAGAAGTAAGGGGAAAAGGGAAAGCAAACCGCAGAGATAACAAAGCGGCCAAAAACCGCAAAAGAAAGGAGCAGAGAAAAATCAAAGACAAAAAGCGCTTTTGTAAGGCCATTGAGTCACGCAAACAGTATAAATGAACAACTGGCAGATAAGAAAATCACTCTACTATCGCGTGGTCTAAAGTTTATCACTACA